CCTCCCCCCCCATTAACACCGTCAAGCTTGCGGCAAATCGGCCTTTTTTTATGCATTCAACGTGCCTGCTGAAACCCTTCCCATCCTCCTGATCCAAAAATGGCAACTTGGGTCTGCCACTCCCTCCCAATCCATCTCCTTTCTCCTCTCTCTGCTCCCCTTCCTCCTCTCCTCCCCTTCCTCCACAGCCAGCCCCCACGCCCTCATCGCCCCCCTCTCCAAAGACCCCAACACCCTTCAATACCTCACCCGCATCAACCAGCGCACTCCTTCCCTTCCCCTCAACCTCGCCGTCGACCTCGGCGGCCGTCATCTCTGGATCAACTGCGACGCCATCTACTTCTCATCCACTTACCGCCCAGTCCCCTGCCACTCCGCCCTCTGCTCCCTCGCCGTCTCAGACAGCTGCGGCGACTGCTTCTCCTCCCCACGTCCCGGCTGCCACAACAACACCTGCCGCGTTTACCCCGAAAACCCCTTCACCCACTACAACGGCGTCGGCGATCTGGGCCTTGACGCTCTCTCCTTCCCTTCCACCGACGGCTTCACTCCCTCCTCCCCTGTCACCGACCCATCCTTCCTCTTCTCCTGCGCACCCGCTTTACTCACCCGCGGCCTCGCTGCCGGCACAGTCGGCATCGCCGGCCTCGGCCGTACCCGCATGGCCTTACCATCTCAACTCGCCGCCAAATTCAGTTTCCGCCGCCGCTTCGCACTCTGCCTCCCCTCCAACCCCCGCGTCACCGGAGCCCTTTTCTTCGGCCCCGGCCCCTACAACTTCCTTCCTGGCATCGACGGCTCTCAATCCCTCCTCTACACTCCACTCCTCACCAACCCCATCAGCACTGCCGGAACCTACACCAACGGAGAACCTTCCTACGAGTATTTCGTCGGCGTCACCGCCATCAAAGTCGGAGGAACCGCGGTGGCATTAAACAAGACACTGCTGACCATCGACAAAAATACGGGGTACGGAGGAACCAAAATAAGTACATCAGTACCGTACACCACGCTGGAGACGAGCATATACAAGTCGCTTACGGATGCGTTTTCGGCCGCCCTGGCGAACGTGACGAGGGTGGCGGCGGTGGCTCCGTTCGAGCTGTGCTATGATGGGAAGGAGTTGGGGAGCACGAGGGTGGGGCCGGGGGTGCCGGCAGTGGAACTGGTTCTGCAGAATGAGAATGTGTTCTGGATCATATATGGGGGGAACTCCATGGTTGAGGTGAAGAGCGGGGTGTTCTGTTTTGGGTTTGTGGACGGAGGGAGGACGGCGAGGACATCGATAGTGATTGGGGGGTATCAGTTGGAGGATAATTTGGTGGAGTTTGATTTGGCATATTCCAGGGTTGGATTCAGCTCGACGCTGCTGTTCCGGCGAACCACCTGCGGTAATTTCAACTTTACGTCCAGCCCATGATGATTGATGACCGTTTGGATTGGTTTGATTTTTCATGTTTTTCTATGAACGAATAAGAATGAGGGGTGATTGCGACAGACTTCATTGTTTATCAAGATGTTGTTTATGAAGATGTTGGTGTCATCTTATATGAAATGATACAATAAATTAAATAAATTTGTATTCCTTTTTTTTTAAGAAAAGTGTTCTAATTTTTTTTAATTATATTTTTTGTCTTCTTAATTTATAACTTTTTTTCTTTTATATATATATATATATATATATATATCTTGTTGACTAATTGTAAAATTTGATATTTGGATAAGTTTGTGGGTATATTTGCACGTATAATACTTTTTTTAATTATCAAATCGATGTATTTATGCAGGTCACAATCAAATCATTGAGAATTTGTTAAAAATGAAAAATATAGGTTGAGATTTTATCATGAATTTTAATATTTCAGTGAGAATTTGAAAAATGGATGCAAGTGGTGCTTGATTTATAAATAGCAATGTTTGGGGCGCTCTGTATGTAATTGCCCCTTATATTTTGTATTAATATGAGCTTTCTTCTTAACAAAAACACATGTTAAATTGTAATGATTTAATTAGAGTTAATGTATAACTCATATGGACTCAATGTAAAATTTGACCTTAAGGTGAAGTTTGTGGGGCATATGTGACATGCATCCACTATATAGGAGGGGATGAGTTAATGAATGCATTCTTAGCCTTCTTTATGCATTTATTTTAATATAATTTTGAAACTAAAATATTAATTTAAATATTAAAATGTAAGTATTAGATTTATAAATATATTAAAAGTATGCAATATGTGGACAAATCATCATATGTATGTTGTTGAAAGTTGAGAAAGTTGATTAAGTTCTTCAAATTTTAGGAAAAAATCAAGATAAAATTTTTTTGAATGAAATGATCCAATAAATTAATTATCTTTAAATTACTTATTAGTAAAAGTATTTTTCCCTAGGAAAAACCTCACAAAGCATAATCTCACTATAGACCATCCTAATTTTGTATCTTCTTTTTAATATATAATTAATCATAAACCTATGTAAATCATTACTTTGTTATCAAGTTTGTGGGGAATATGTGGCGTGCATTAACAATATAGGAAAGGTGGAGTTAGTGAATGCATAAATTGTTAGTTATGAAAGACACCTTGATATTTTTACACTATATTTTAATATTGTTTTGACACTTAAATATTTTTTTTATATAATTATTAAAATTTAGATATTAGATTTATAAATTTATAAAAATTAATTAAGGCTAATTGAATTATTTAGTTTAGAATCAACAAATGAATACATGGGCAAGGCAAACTTTAGCTATGTTGACCATATGTTAAACTTGTGCCTATAGATAAGGCTAATTTTGATTTCATGGTTAGTTGTTGAACAGAAGCATGCATTTAATTGGACTAATGGTGGAAAGAGAAGATGCTTGGAACACCAACTAAGCCCACCATGAGCAATTAGGATTAAGCATAAAATAAGATCTATTATGTAGTTAACTATGCCAAACCCATTGATAAAAATGACATTAATTAGAATTAAATAATCAAAAGATCCTCTTATGACCTATGTTATATTCATATGAATTTTACGTAGTCACGCTAAGGTTTAATCATACTTTTTTTTATTATTTACTTTTTTTTAAGTTTAAATCATAGTTATTCTGAGTTCATAGTTGAAGTAGGGCTTTCTTCTTAACCAGGCTAAAAGAAGACCTATGAGTGAGCTAAGAAAATATATCAAGTAGTTGAAGTATAAATATTTAAGTGTGCAAATAACAATCTTAATCTCAATTTGATAGACCACATGGTCTAACCACACAAAATATCAAAGGTTATTATACTTACATCAATTATAAAAAGGAAAATTCATTTTTTTGCAATTGAAATAATATATTTCAATACTCTTATAAACTTTTTCATATAAAAATACTATCATTTGGCAGGATAAGTTATTTATAAGTTGAAACTCCTAATAATTTGTAATTTTTTATTGCAATGTTCAAGATTTTATTGTCACTTTTAATGTATTAAAATTTGATTAAAATTTCTTGTAGATGAGGTTCTTCTTGATGTGTAGAGCATTCTTAAAAGTTTCTAACTACATTTTATTCTTGATTTAGACTCATTTGGACTTGGATCAATACACATTTAGTTTTATTGAGTTTATCTAGTTGAAATATTAAATTTAATATAAATTCATTAAAATTAAAATTTATATAATGTTGAGTTCAATTTAATAAAAAACTCTTAAATAAATATATGTGCTTGATTGATATATTTTCTAGTGACATAACAATCCTTTCCTATCTTTTTGACCTCCATGAGCCAATGGAAAATAATTACAAGAGTTTGCATAATATTTCTAGTTTGAACACTTTTGGCTTATCGAGTTAGATAAACCTAAAAGGTTAGCTAATAAGAACTATGATCTTCAATTCCTTTTTATGCAATTATTTTCTAAGAGCTCTCCACTTCTAATATTAATTTCACCTCTTATTCACACATTGCTGCTTCAATAATTATTTCTCCCACAACCATAAAGAAGTGATTAGATTTAGTTAAATATTTTTTCACTTTAGAAACTATTAGTTTTTTACCATTGCATGGGCTAATAATCAATTTATATTTAAAAGTATTTTTAACTTTAATATTACATGAGTTCTTTAACAAATATAATTTCATGTGCTCATATTTTCTTAGATTAAAAATTAATCTTTTTTATAATTAAAAAAATTTGAATGATTGATCTTTTTATCTTAATTAATGGTTTATATTTTAAAAAAAATATTAATCCTATGCACAATAACATTCAATCAGCAAAGGATATGAGATTGTATAAATTGATCAAGATAAAAAGCTTCATGATCACATGACCAATAGATTTTTTTCATTAAACAGTCAAATACATTAAGTTTTAATTACAATTAAATTCAATAAATATTTTAAAATACATGCTCATAACCTTATAGTTATGGAGTCACATGACATTTAAAAACTAATTAAATAAAAATCTATTTGATGAGATGAAAAATAATTAAAAAAATTTACAAACCATTTATGCTAGTTAGGAGTGTAAGTCAGCTTAGTCAGCTATTGAGTTAGCTTGAAATTGATTTTCTACTTAGCTTGCAAGTTGAGCTTATTAAGCATGACCCATCTCATAAGAATTTTCATGAATAAGGAGAGTGAGAAAGGATCATATCCAACCAGGGCTTAAAATTTTGAGGCATAAATATTGCAAATTAGAGCCCAACTTTTTATTTAGAAATCTTAAAAAGAAATATATATAGAAAAATTATTAGAAATCGATCCCCTTAAATGAACTAGAGGAATATCTACTCATGTGATTCTAAAAATTTTTAGTTAGAGTGTGAAGACAACATTTGCTATAATAAAATAAGAAGATAATGATCTAATTATAAAAATATTTTTAGAATGTATTTTATAAATTAAAATTAAAATTAAATTCATTTCTCTACCATGAAAACTCCATCACCCAAGGCTTTATAAGAACATTCAAAATTCTCATCGCATGTTCATCCTTTTGGTATAAGCTCCAAGCTTCTTTAGATATTCCAACTCCTCATCATCCTTCCGCCAATTTATAATAATCATTTTACTATAACCATCTACACTAATTATCTATGTGCATCTATTACAAGCATCATAATTGCAATCCTCTTGTAGCAAATCATTTAACTTATAAAAACCAATTATGTAAGCTTCCTATGAATGATGGAGCATGAATTGAAAAATTGAGAGGTTGGATTTTTGAATCCTCAAGCAAGTGTACTTTTTTAGGGAAGGTTAGTGAGAGTTGAAGGAGGAGAATAAAAAACACATAAAGAAAGAAAGAAATAAAACATAAAATTTTTAAATGTCTTGATAATATAGCCTAATCCCACTATACAAGAGAATAAAGGAGAAGCTTCACTAATCATAGGTTTTAAAACCACTATTCTTTGAAGCTTACTCTTTATTTAGGAAGACAATTTATAAAAGCATAGTATTTGAGTTTTTATCTTAATTGTACAACATTTTTATTGATAGACATAAGGTTAAAATGGTTTTTATGCTCTAAGAATATGAAGTTGAGCCTCAAAAGAGCCATATAAAATTCTTTTATATGAATATTGATAAATATGCAACAAAGAACAAAAAATTCTAAGATGGGGTCATGAGAAATGATAAAATAATATACCCATGAGAGTTGATAAAATTCATATTAGAATATATATTATAAATAATAAATAAATTTAAATATATCTTATTTAGTTATAGGGCATTAAAGTCTCCCATAAGTGAAATCCCTCATATTTAATTACATATAAGATGTGATTCATATGCTTACTTTTGATTAATCATTTTTTTTTATCATTTAAAGTTTTTTATATATAAAATATAATATTAAGAAACTATAGTTCATGGTATAAACAATTTTAGTAAGTAAAAGAGTATTTAAAGAGGAAGAATAATTCAACTTGTAATTTTTAGTTAACTATTTATTGACTTCAAAAACTATTATTTTTTACCATGGCATGAACTTTCAATCAATTTTATATTTAAAAGTTTTTGTATCTTTATTATTACATGAGTTCCTAAACAAATATAATTTCATGTGCTCAAAATTTTATTCCATGGAAAAGTATATCTATTTAGATAATTAACAAATTTTGCATGATTGATGTATTATCTTAATTAAATGGTTTATAATTAAAATAATATTAATCTCATTTATACTAACATTCAATCATTAGAAAATATGAGATTGTATAAAATGTTCAAGATATAAAGCGTCAAGATCACATGATCAAGAAACTTTTTTTATCCAAGAGTCAAACACATTAATTTTTAATTAGAATTAAATTCAATAATTATTTTAAAATACAATGCTCATAACCTTATAGTTATGGAGTCACATGCCATTTAAAAAATTAATTAAGTAAAAATTTATAAAACTAGACAAAAACTATAAAGAGGTTAATAGATATATTTAAAGATATCTTGACTTCAGAAACTATTATTTTTTACTAGAGCATGGGCTTATAATCAATTTTATATTTAATTTTTTTTTTAATTATTACATGAGTTCCTTAACAAATATAATTTCATGGGCTCATGATTTTATTT